ACTCTGTAGCATGGTGGGTCCAGAGCTTCTATATGTTAAAGTCTCAGAGGGTAAAAGCACTGAATGGATGGCTAGTGTTTTATTAGGATGGCCCTAATATTTGATACAGTAGTAGTAATTTACATTTATTTCCAGACAAATGTTATCCTTTTTCTGGGTCAGCAAATATTTACCTTAAGTAGTCTGAAGTAATCCATCATTTTTCTGTGTGCTAGAGAGGAAAATTAAGCTAAACTTAAACTCACTTTGAAATGTTTGTAGTAAAATCCTTTTTGGGATTTGAAATACTTCTCCCATAATTCATTATAATGCTCAGACTTTTAAACATGTCAGTATCTTTTCATCATTATCCTTTAAGTAGATTTTTAAGTCAGCTGTTTGTTTCCTTCTGAAATGGATTAGAGAAATTTTGCTACTGGTAGGCTTATCCCAGTAGGCCAGATCTTTTAAGCCTGACTGGACTCATGTTAATGTAAAGTGTAAAAGTAAAGTGTAAAGTAAAGTAAAGTGTGCGTGTTAGTCCCCATAGGGAAATAGTTCCTCTGCATTTAACCCATTCACCCAGTGAAGCAGAATGACGTAAACGCTGACTTTGATGTTGTCTAGAAACAATTCTCTCGTGCGATTACAGTGTTGGTCTCTTTACTGTTGCTGGAATGAAAAGGAAATGTCTGCTAGCTGACTGCCAAGATGCGCAGAGTATAATTTGTGCTTACCACAGTTGTTTCCCATGAATTCAGTACAAAGTTAAATATGTGTCATTAACACCAAAAGTGTCTGTAAAGAGGGAACAGAAAGTGTACTATGTTTTAAAAGCAGGATTTCAGTTGTTGTGCGGTCAGAAGTTGCCTCTCCAACATGTGATTATTGACATGACGGAAACACCAGCTGGTCATTAAAATGGGAAATAAAATGACATTATCTTGTGTGACAGGGCCTTTCTGGTTGTCCCCCTTCCATTTCTGATCATTTACTGGGCATGCAGACACTGATGTCGTCTTCTGAAAGTAGCTGACATAGACGGACGGCGTGACCGATGATTTCAGTGTATGTAGTTGTGTAAAAAAATAAATAAATTAAAATTAATTTTCTTTTTACAGGTTCTTGTCATGCTGCAGTGATGTACAAGGTACTGATTTTAATACTAACCTTCTGGGGGGTGACAGTGAACTGCATTGGAACATCGCCGGCACCATTCCGCAATAAATCTACGGAAATGTGTTACTCTGCTCGAATTAGGAGTACTGTACTCCAGGGTTTGCCCTTTGGTGGGGTGCCTACTGTCCTTGCCCTTGACTTTATGTGCTTCTTGGTGAGTACTTCTGTCACTCATATGGACCATAACATTACTATTTATGAGCACCTTTTTACGTAAGGCATAATGCGATCCTCATCATCACATGTGGGCCCTTTAATATTGTGTATTGTGTTGTCATTACAATTCTAAGAACTGAAATAAAAATAGTTCCAGGAAAGTGTTTATAAACTATAAACAGCCCGAAGCACCTATGCAACTTTAGTTCAGTAGGTCCCTGTAATGTAAATAAAGGTACTGAAGGTGTTGACCTGCTCTTTCTCTTGTGCTTTTAGGGTCTGCTGTTTGTGTTCTCTATCTTGAGAAAAGTGGCATGGGACTATGGGCGCCTCGCTCTAGTGACTGATGCCGAAAGGTAATAAGAACACACTGGTCTGCTAGACTGGACCAGTCTAGCAACAAAGCTGTTAACCTCATTTTATCGTACATTTAATGGATTAACATGATTGGTAATGGTTATTCATATCTCTGGATGACGTAACCAGGTATTACGATGGTCTTCTAAAAATATGTATTTATACTAAGTTAGGTGTAACTTTACAAATGGCAAACAGCAAGCCTGATTTTTCTGCTGGGGTTTGGACCAAAGTTTCATGGAAGGCTTGTTTGTTAGCGTAGGTGTGAGCAGCTTAGGACTTTGCCAGACTTTGGTTATCTGTGTACACAGTTGGATTGTAATGTTGCCTTTTTTTAAAATGGTGAAATCATGACGATGTGTGTTTGTGGGCACGGATTAACTGGATAATTTGCAAGAGATTTGACTCTGCTGTGTATCCAGCTTTCTTTATCTGCGGTTTATTTACCTTTAGACATTTGGCCCAGCTCCGAGTATAACACTGTGTCTGGCTCACTCTATCAGTGTAAAGATGTTTAACTACACATTCAATTCATGAAATGTGGTTCTATAAGGAAAAAATAGTAAAATTTCAACAGCATGTCTGTTTAAAAAAGATTTGTATAGACAGAAACTTTATTGTCACATAATTGTGTATCTTAATCCCTTTGGTTTATCGTGAATAAAGGGAGGTCTCTATCAATAGGAAAAGCTGCAAAACCTTTGAAAATGGAGACAAAAGTCCAAAACCTTTTGCCATCTTTCACATTTCCAGCCTTCCGTTGGGCCGTGTCAATTCTAGCACCTGGATCTTATGTTTGACACACCTGCTCCGCAGGATTGCTGATTTGATTTTTACATTTTACAACTTTTCAAACTAGTTTTCAAGCTTTTTTTTTTTTTTTTTTTTAACTAATTTTAATCATAATAAAATAACCTAATAGAGTAGGCCTGAAAACAGAAAATTGATTTGTTTGTAACAATATTAATTATATCATTTAGCCCTACAAGGGTCGTAATTTAAGTCCTGCCATCGTTTCATTTTGGATGTTTTTTGACCCAGAAGAGGAGGTTAATTCCTCTGACAGAAGCAGACATCGTGTAGATTTTAGCCCAGACAGGAAGTCAGTCTCAGCACTTTTTCCTTGAAAAGCACCCTTTCAGTCTGCCATGTGATGGTTTGTACTTCAATACATAGTTTATCCATTTTGACATTATAAGGAAAAAGCCTGAAATTGACAAAGAAGCAAAAAATAATTAAACTATTGGTCCTTTATGTACCCCTAGTTCATCAACATTAATGTCCACATCTAAGCCCAGAAGACTGTAGTTCGTGCTATTGTATGATGATGTATTATTGCCAGATAAATTAGGATGCTTAACTAGAAAAGTTTTGGAAGCAGCCAAATGGATGCCTATTAACAAAGAATGATTTTAGGGCTACACCATAAAATTAAATGGATCGGATTAAGAGACTGAATTCAGACCTCTTTGACTGTGAACTCTGGGAACTACATGACACAGTGCTCCATTACCCATGTCCCCCCTGCTGTGTTTGTGTGATGTTGCAGCTAGACTATTTTTGCAGCTGCATGTGAGCAGAGGATGAGGTTGCAGCATGGTGGGAGGATGGGAGGGGGTGGCAGCATGGAACACTTTTGTAACAGACAGGAAATGTAGTTTGTTGTCCCACGACACTGTGCTGACTTCAGATCATTGTCTTTTTTTCATGTTTTGAAAAGAGGCTGTTACCTCTCCAGGAAAGTTGGACAATCAAAAACGGGGATTACATATGATGAATGTTTTGTTACAGCTGCAAAAACAAAGTGGTTACTACATCCCAGGTCCTGAACACGTGTGTATGGCTGGATAATGTATCCTAGTGTGAACAGAAACCTTCATTGGTATGCTTGTGGTGTAATATGCCTACCCAGATTTTCTCTAAACCAGTTCCCTTGTTTTTTCCCCAACAGAGTGATTTCCTCTTAACTAAACTGAATGGCTTTGATTTACTTTTTTTTTTCTTTTTTATTATAGAAGAAAAAGGGATACATTTTACAGTCGTCTGGAAGAACAGGAATTGTATGTTATCTCTCATTATCATTGAGTTTTTCTTCTTTCCTTTTGACTTTCTGTAGACCGTCTTACTCATAATTCCTCTCTGCTCAGGGTACACTGGTTTCTTCGTGTTTTTCCTCTTTTTTTTTTTTTTTTTTAAACTCTTGATGGTTTGGCATTTTCCTTCTTCAGGCATTTCCTAGCACCAGGCTCCGACTCATTCTCCTCTCTTTGTCGCTCTCATGCTTTTGCCGTTGGGTGTCCCTGTCCTCTCTCACTGTCCTAATCGGATCTTTGTCTGCTAATCTGTGTATTGACCTCTTTATGAAGCACGGGCTTCTTCTGTGTGAGCACACCGCATGAGCAAGACACACAGGATGCTTGCGGGGAAAGGTAATACTTACCTGATCTGTGGTTATTCATAGACAGGCCCTAACATGGAGCACCTACAGTGTAACCTGTGTACTAGACCTGGCATGTGCAAGAGGACTGATTTTTCCAGCGTCAGGCTCCTTACTCATTCCATCAGATTTCTTAGAATCCCGGGTGACGTCATCTTTTAATGTAGTATTGAACTCTGAGTAAAATAATAATTCCAGCAGAGTCGGAGTTCTCTTCATAATGATATATGTAAAATCAATTGCCATTTCCTCTCAGGGGCATGCATTAAATTCGTATAAAGTAAATAGATTTAACAAGGACAACCTATGGCTCTGCTGGAAGAACTCCCCAAGTCTGTCTCTGGATTGTTGCTTTGTTTCTGTTTCTTCCTCTGTGAATGGTTTCTGCCGTGTCATTTTTATTGCACCATTTATTCTGACAGCAACGGTGCAAATAACCTGTAGCGCTTAGCTCCTAACACTGCATGAGATGTGGCTGCAGAGATTGTTTCTGAGGTTTACTGGTTTACCACCTTAAATCTGCTGTGAACCACACACAGCATTACCTTGGGTCAATCTCTTCAGATCATTTCACAGCGTGTTTGCTTTGTGTCATTACCTTTGCCATACTGAAGGTTTATCCTTTGTCCTGAAAGCTAGAGCTAATATCCTTGTATGGTATATGGTGATGTTGGGTAGTTGTGTAATGTCATGCAAATGCTGTGTG